CAACTGGGAAAAGAGTAAACTCTCCCCAACGCAGAGGATCTCTTTTCTCGGTATGGAGTTGGACTCGGTTGAACAGACAGCACGCCTCACTCAGGAACGTGTTCAGTCGGTGTTGAACTGCTTGAATACATTCAAGAGCAGTATGGCGGTCCCACTGAAACAATTTCAGAGGCTCCTGGAGCATATGGCAGCTACGGCGGCAGTCACGCTGCTGGGGCTGCTTCATATGAGACCGCTTCAGCACTGGCTCCATGGCCGAGTCCCGAGGTGGGCGTGGCAATACGGCACTTACCAGGTCCAAGTTACACTGGCCTGCCGCCAAACCTTCACCCCGTGGTCAGACCTTCTGTTTCTCCGAGCAGGGGTGCCCCTAGAACAGGTCTCCACGTATGCTGTACTTCACACGGATGCCTCAACCACCGGCTGAGGGGCCACATACAAGGGGCTTGCAGTGTCAGGGGTTTGGACGGGGCCCCAACTGCACTGGCCTTGATCCGTCTCAAAGGGCGCTTATGAGGCGAGCATGTACTAGTCCGCACAGACAACACTGCGACTGTGGCGTACATCAACCGACAAGGTGGTCTGCGCTCCCGTTGCATGTCGCAACTCGCCCGCCACCTCCTCCTTTGGAGTCAGAATCATCTGAGGTCGCTTCGTGCTGTTCACATTCCTGGGCTGCTCAACCGAGCAGCTGACGAGCTGTCTTGAGCTGCGCTTCCGGGAGAATGGCGACTCCATCCCCAGATGGTCCAGCTGATTTAGAGGCATTTCCGAGCCGCTCAGGTAGGCCTGTTTGCTTCTCCAGAAATCTCTTACTGCCAGTTGTTCTACTCCCTGACCGAGGGAACACTCGGCACGGACACACTGGCACACAGCTGGCCACGGGGCCTTCGCAAATATGCGTTTCCCCCAGTGAGCCTTCTTGCACAGACACTGTGCAAAGTCAGGGAGGATGTGAGGAGCAGGTCCTGTTAGTGGCACCCTATTGGCCCACCCGGACCTGGTTCCTGGAACTAATGCTCCTCGTGACAGCCCCTCCTTGGCCGATTCCTCTGAGGAAGGATCTACTGACTCAGGGACAGGGCACCCTTTGGCACCCGCGTCCAGACCTCTGGAAACTTCATGTCTGGTCCCTGGACGGGACGCTGAAGTTCTAGGTGACCTGCCCCAAGAGGTAGTTGACACCATCACTTCAGCGAGAGCACCGTCTATGAGACATGCTTACACCTTGAAGTGGAACCTGTTCGTTGAGTGGTTTTCTTCTCTCTGAGAAGACCCCCGAAGATGCCCGATCAGAGTCGTGCTGACATTCTTGCAGCAAGGGTTGGAGCGAAGGCTGTCTCCCTCCACCCTCAAAGTCTATGTCGCCGCAATCACTGCTAACCACGACCCCGTAGAAGGGAAGTCACTGGGGAAGCATGACCTGACCATCAGATTCCTTAGGGGAGCGAGAAGGCTAAATCCTCCACGGCCCCCCTCTATACCCTCTTGAGACCTGACTGTAGTGCTCACAGCACTACAGCAGGGCCCATTTGAGCCTTTGCAGACAGTCGAGCTGAAGTTTCTGTCAATGAAAACTCTACTCCTACTTGCACTGGCCTCCATCAAGAGGGTAGGGGACCTGCACGCATTTTCGGTCGACGATTCATGCCTAGAGTTCGGGCCGGCTGACTCCCAGGTAACTCTGAGGCCCCAGCCCGGCTTTGTGCCCAAGGTTCCCACTACTCCCTTCAGAGATCAGGTGGTGAGCCTGCAAGCGCTGCCCCCGGAGGAGGCAGACCCAGCACTAGCTTTGCTCTGTCCCATCCGAGCCTTAAGGTGCTACGTAGACCGGACACAAAGCTTCAGGACCTCAGACCAGCTCTTTGTCTGTCACGGAGGCCGGCAGAAGGGGAATGCCGTCTCTAAGCAGAGGATGGCCCACTGGATAATGGATGCCATCACCCTGGCTTATCAGGCACAGGGTGTGCCCTGCCCGTTCAGGTTGCGAGCTCACTCAACTAGAAGTGTTGCATCCTCCTGGGCGCTGGCTTGTGGCGCTTCGCTGGCAGATATCTGTAGAGCACCTAAGGAATGTTCATATGTGTATTTACTTCCGAAACCTCCTTCGGGAAGGTTGGAGCTTCTGTAACGTTCCTGTCCCAAGTGGAACGGGTACGTTTTCCTGAGTGGGTAGTGCCATAGCAACAGTAGCTGGTCCTCTTGTGGTAAGCCCTGCCCTGCACCAAAAAGTAGGGGCGCAGGAGGCTCCCACAGGACACTGGAAGGGGCGGAATCTGTGTCCTTTTGGTAGGGATCCCAATTCGACGTGACGTCGAGAGTGACCGACTGAAAGGGAACGTCTCGGTTACGTATGGTAACCCTCATTCCCTGAAGGAGGGAACGGAGATGTCACGTCCCGTCGCCACAGCTCCTGTACCACCGCTGAATGGCCGAGTCACCGGCTCGGCTCCTCAGCGAAAACCTGAATATGCGCTGCATCTGCTGCCTACTTATACTCACACTGTGATCAGCGGCAGCTGGATGCAATAATCGCATGCCAATGTCTCTCTAAGCGAGATCCCAATTCGTCGGTAATCCGACGTGACGTCTCCATTCCCTCCTTCAGGGAACGAGGGTTACCATACGTAACCAAGACGCTCCCTTTCAAGGGAATTTCGAACTGCGTCCTCTAGGGGTCGCTATGGGGGAGAAACGCCTCGTCGAGACCCGAACAACACGTTGGCCGGCGACAGCCATGACGTCACTACCGGTGCGACTATAGTATAAATAGGCACCGGGAGAACACATCATCCTCTTCTTCATCTTCACTGACTGTTCCGTTTGAAGCATGCATTTCCGTGGTAAGAGCGATCTCTATTCATATCATTATGGTCGTGTCATCGTTATTTGACACCTGATAACACACACGATCTATGCGTTGTTTGTTTGGGTGAAGAGCATGCACGCGATGGGGGCAATTTCAATGAAAAAGCTCCGCTCTCGTTTGTCTCTCTTTTCGAGGAAAGAGGGGCAGCCATCTGCTTCCCGCGGTTCAGGACCCGCCGCTGCTGAGGCACGGAGGAGCATGAGCTCGTGGGGATCGCAGGTGGATCTGGCCAATGAGTTTAAAAAAGGGGCTTTTCCTCTCACACTCGTCGGCTGTGGACGAGAGTGAGCCGCTGGAGGATGATGTTATTTCATTAACATCTTCTGATCCAGGGGCCAGTGCTCTGCTGGGTTCAGCCCAGGAAGAGCAGGAAATGTCTGAGGAGAGCGAAGAAGCTGAGGCTGAGCCTCCCTGCATATGATGAGCTTTTGGAAGTTCCTGATTTCCATACAGAGATTGAGAAGGAATGGTAGAGGCCGTTTTCCTCACGCATCCATTGATTCCAGCATACGAGTTATGCCAACATCGAGGCGATGCGCGAAAACAGCTACGAGAAGATGCCCCCTGTAGAAGAGTAGCTGGCCAGCTATCTCTCTATGGGTGAGACGTCCTCTCTTAAAACTCCCTCCTTGCCATCTAAGCCTCTTCAGGATACATCTCGCTTAAATGGCAGGGCATACGCAGCAGCAGGTCAGGCTGTCGCTTCGTTGCACACGATGGCGGTGCTCCAGGCATATCAGGCTGACCTGCTGAAAGACCTGGATAAAGGCGAGGGCCTTTCTCCTGATGAGGTAGCGGAGTTGCGCCGCACCACGGATCTCGCTCTCCATGCTACTAAGCAGGCCGCCTCTGCTATGGGCAGGTGCATGGCGGCTATGGTAGTGACGGAGAGACATCTGTTGGTGAACCTAGCAGATATCGGGAAGAAAGAGAGGGGCTTTCTTCTCGATGTACTTTGTACTTGTACTAGTACTTTGCATTCTTTGCAAAGACAATTCCTTCAGTATATGCAGAGCGTGCGGCAGCCCCTGTGTGACAGGCCAAGACTTAGTATGATTCTAGGCTCTTGGTAATATTCCCTTAAAGGAACCTATTCCTGATTCCAAGCCTTGAGCTCTACCCCGGCCCCAGGAGTTCTGGCCCTAACAGGTAAGTTTTTGGGGTATGTAGCCTAGGCCTTTGGCCGTAGGGGATAATGTCACTGACAGCCGTCTTAACGTCCCAGGGGCAACTCCCATGGCTATGGTAGAGTTGGTACTTAGTGCTCGCCATGGTTTTCTGGCATGCACTCCCCTCAGCATGGTGGCCTGGATATATCATTCTCCATAACGACCCCTAGAGGACGCAGGTCGAAGTTCCCTTGAAAGGGAACGTCTCAGGTTACATATATAACCTAGTTTCCCTGAGTAGGGAATGAGACACAGCATCCTATAGGTTTCCTGCCATGCTTCGGACGCAAGCTTCAGACGAAGAAGTGCATGATGTGTTCTCCCGGCGCCTATTTATACTATAGTCGCACCGGTAGTGACGTCATGCTGTCGCCAGCCAACATGTTGTTGGTGTTTTTTCAATGTATGTTTCAGACACGGGTCACAACGAGGCGTTCCCCTCCATAGCGACCCCTAGAGGATGCAGTGTCTCGTTCCCTACTCAGGGAACCATGGTTACATACGTAACCTGAGACGTTCTATAGTATTTTGTCGCGCCGCGCAGCTCGCGTCCGGTGTAGACACGGTGTAACATTGGTTTTGCGTTGTTTCACAGAACTAATCATTGCCTGGGTTGCATACGTATGTGTGGGGCGGAGCTATCAAAATAGGTAGGGGCATGTTTGATTTGGTGATTTCAAATGTCAACATAGGCTACCAGAAATCGCTTACCCCACCTTTAAGAATCAACCCAAACTGTTCTCTGATAGTAATGTAGTATCTTTTTTACTACAGAAGCCTTTCTTAGTGCATCTCTCCTGCTATTTGAAACAATTCTTGCATGCTGTGTCCTATTTTATCACACAACTAGGATTGGTCTTAAATGTTTTGTTTAAAAATGCAGCTTTGGTCACTTGAATGCTTAGCATCACTGCGCATTGAAAACACAAGGAAAGCACAGACACACAGACAGCCGAACTCACCTGTGTTTTGATGAAGTTCTCAATGTGTTCTTGCCATAATGATCTTTTATCTGAGTTACTCTGGATGATGCTGAACTTATCAAGATGTTCTTGCAGTGATTTCCCTGTCTTGACATTATCATCAACACTGGAACCAAGAAAATATGGCAAAAGTAGAATTTGTCTGAAAGCAATTTAAATGTCTAAATCTAGTCATCCAGGTCTTTTTTTAAGGTCTTATTCAGCCCATTATCTCAAACAGATTCAGAATTTTGTCTAAATCTAGTTCACAATTACAGTATTGATGGAGCAGGAGAATCCGCAAAGTAGATTTACTTAGATCCAAAGGAAAATTAGTAAAAAATATCTGCTCTAAAAGAAGCACAACTGAAAAGAATGATCAGAAAGAAGAGGAACGATCAGAAGATATTTTCCAACAAGACAATGCTCCTGCCCACACTGCAGTGCAAAGACAACCAAGTAGCTTGAAAACAAGTCCATCAGGCTCATATTTGGGCCTGGTCAGAGTTCAGATTTGAACCCTAGAGAGTATTTGGTGTCATATTAAACTCAAACTAACTGGGAGATATTTTTCAGCTACTCATTAACTTTTTGAAGCCATCGACATTGCGTAGAACAACACTGACTCTTCTTTGTCTAAAGAGTTGTCTGCAGGTTTACTCACAAGACTTAAACATGTAAAGACAAAGGCTATCCCATACTAATACTAAGTTACTTTAGTTGCTAAAAGCTAAATAAAAAACTTTATATTTTGCCATTTGGGCTTGTCCTTAGTAAATAATTCTATTATATGACTGAACTAAATATCAGCATTGGTAAATCGCTTTGATAACATTTCTGAACTAAATAGGGGAGCCTGCATATGGGATTAAAGTGTAAAACTTACGGAAATATTAATTCAAACTCCTCATCGAGGTTGTCATACATGTGTTTGCTCAAACACGTGTTTAACTCTAAAGGTGCGTCCCAGGCTTTTGGCCAGTAATATCCTTTTCTCTCACACATTGCTCGATAAATTTTATGAAAACCTCTGTTATCTTTTGGTCGAGCCTGAAAGCAAAAACACATAAACTGCTGTTAGGAAGCCCAGTAAAATATTGAATATGCAACTTTCACAACAACTGAAACACACTTACAGATTTGATCATGTCTTGTGTGGTCTTAACACATGATCTCACTGATTCTTCTACTCCAGCTGAGAGACAGTCTTCCAGAGTCTTATAGCACGAGTCAAACTGACATTTCAACTCTTTCAGTGCCCTATGTAGGTTTATCTCCAGATCGCTGTGGACTTTGGCTTTTGTCTTATTTAAACACAAAAATATAATAGCAGTGAATTACAGAAAGAAAAAACGTTTGCATTTAAAACATCAGCAATTCTCACTCATACCATATTTTCATCTGCATCCAGTTGGACACCTTGGATCAAAGACAAAACCCCTTTTGCTTCATTGACATAATCTCTGGTCAGTTTTCTGTCGATGTTCTTATTAAGATTCTTCAGAACATCCCTCAGTTTTGGAATCTCTGCAGACCATTTTCAAATATATTCAATTAGTTCATTATTAAACCAACTTCCAAGTAATGACAAAATTATATTTTTCCTCAAGACAATACCAGTTTCTGTAGCTTCCAGAACTGGATTTTCTGGATCCAGGAATGCTTCAGAACTTACAGTAAAAACATCAGTGACGAATCTCTCTTTTGAATCCTAAATAACAATATTAATCAGTCAGTCTAATTAATTAATTATTTTCTCAAAGTTATAAACACATATCTAGAAACTAAAACTAATCAAACTTGTACAAACCTTCAACTTTCATGACTCCAAACACAGATTCAAAAACATATTGTGTTCCATCAAAATTTGAGTGACACACAAAACACCAGATAATTTTTGTAGTTATTTGATCTTGTTTTCCAGTAAAAATAATCTGTATACGTTTACTTTCCCCTTTAGGCAAATCAAGAATGTTGTTTTCTCTGGAAGCAAGACTTAATATAATTTTGATTCTCAAGTACATGTATTTTGAAGATGCTTTTACTGGAAAACAAGATGAGGTTTAGTATTAACATATTCTGGGGTTTAAGTCTGTTTTTGTTTTTGACTGCACTAGTTCCGTTGATTTTCTTAGGTATCAAAAATTCAATTGTATATAATAAAAATCTTCTATAATAATACCCTGCTTCCAGCATTTTTTAATTTTCTTTTCACTGCTTCCTTTGCACGGCTGTTTCTATGAAGTATGCGTTTTGTTTTCAGATCCTGAAAAACAATCAACACAAGAGATATTGTTAAAGCTAGATGAAGTATCTGGTGATATTTGATTCAGGATAAAACCATTCAAAAGAACATCACTTTCATGGGAGTCATCACATTACTAATGATACAAAACATAAAACATATAATGCACTTTTCAGCCTTTTATTTGGTGAATAAAAAAAAAGTGATCAAGTTTTAGTAAAAATAGAATGTTCAATTAAAATCAATTAATTTCAAGTGCAGCCAAATGTTACATCATAAGACAACAGTCAAAAGGAAGTCAAACTTTCAGACATTTATAATAATGTTGAATATGAAAACCTCTGTTATCTTTTGGTCGAGCCTGAAAGCAAAAACACATAAACTGCTGTTAGGAAGCCCAGTAAAATATTGAATATGCAACTTTCACAACAACTGAAACACACTTACAGATTTGATCATGTCTTGTGTGGTCTTAACACATGATCTCACTGATTCTTCTACTCCAGCTGAGAGACAGTCTTCCAGAGTCTTATAGCACGAGTCAAACTGACATTTCAACTCTTTCAGTGCCCTATGTAGGTTTATCTCCAGATCGCTGTGGACTTTGGCTTTTGTCTTATTTAAACACAAAATTATAATAGCAGTGAATTACAGAAAGAAAAAACGTTTGCATTTAAAACATCAGCAATTCTCACTCATACCATATTTTCATCTGCATCCAGTTGGACACCTTGGATCAAAGACAAAACCCCTTTTGCTTCATTGACATAATCTCTGGTCAGTTTTCTGTTGATGTTCTTATTAAGATTCTTCAGAACATCCCTCAGTTTTGGAATCTCTGCAGACCATTTTAAAATTTATTCAATTAGTTCATTATTAAACCAACTTCCAAGTAATGACAAAATTATATTTTTCCTCAAGACAATACCGGTTTCTGTAGCTTCCAGAACTGGATTTTCTGGATCCAGGAATGCTTCAGAACTTACAGTAAAAACATCAGTGATGAATCTCTCTTTTGAATCCTAAATAACAATATTAATCAGTCAGTCTAATTAATTAATTATTTTCTCAAAGTTATAATAAACACATATCTAGAAACTAAAACTAATCAAACTTGTACAAACCTTCAACTTTCATGACTCCAAACACAGATTCAAAAACATATTGTGTTCCATCAAAATTTGAGTGACACACAAAACACCAGATAATTTTTGTAGTTATTTGATCTTGTTTTCCAGTAAAAATAATCTGTATACGTTTACTTTCCCCTTTAGGCAAATCATGAATGTTGTTTTCTCTGGAAGCAAGACTTAATATCATTCTGCTTCTCAAGTACATGTATTTTGAAGATGCTTTTACTGGAAAACAAGGTGAGGTTTAGTATTAACATATTCTGGGGTTTAATTCTGTTTTTGTTTTTGACTGCACTAGTCCCGTTGATTTTCTTAGGTATCAAAAATTCAATTGTATATAATAAAAATCTTCTATAATAATACCCTGCTTCCAGCATTTTTTAATTTTCTTTTCACTGCTTCCTTTGCACGGCTGTTTCTATGAAGTATGCGTTTTGTTTTCAGATCCTGAAAAACAATCAACACAAGAGATATTGTTAAAGCTAGATGAAGTATCTGGTGATATTTGATTCAGGATAAAACCATTCAAAAGAACATCACTTTCATGGGAGTCATCACATTACTAATGATACAAAACATAAAACATATAATGCACTTTTCAGCCTTTTATTTGGTGAATAAAAAAAAAGTGATCAAGTTTTAGTAAAAATAGAATGTTCAATTAAAATCAATTAATTTCAAGTGCAGCCAAATGTTACATCATAAGACAACAGTCAAAAGGAAGTCAAACTTTCAGACATTTATAATAATGTTGAATAGTACAGTATTCAACTGAATAATGCAGAAAAATAGAGCAAACCTTTGGTCCAGTCATTTGTTCATCAAGCTGTTCATTTCTAAAGAAAAACAAAATGAAAATGACAGAGCAAAACGAGTCATTATCCAATTATAATTGTCCATTAATTCAATTATTTCTTTTTAAACATGTTTACGTTAATGTTGCAAAAGATGTAATTTAATGACAAAAAAGTCTTATTCTAACGCAAGATATCCCCTTGAATTAATCTGATCGGTCTTGGTGCAGATGAAGTTGATGTGTTTGCATTCTCCTCCTCCTCCCAAGTCTTGAATGCAGTGCTCCAATATTTCCCAGGGGTCTTTGTCTGAGACTGCTCGGTTGATGTCACTTACAATCCACACAGATGAACAGTGCTTTAGTTTCTAAGTGAGAGCAAATACAAAAGCAGAGTAAAATATCAGATGATATACCTGTGGTTTTGTAATATATTTTACGTTTCACACACATTTACGAGTACTTAAAAGAGAAGTGTTTACAGATCTCCAGAGGTCATCTCTGATCTTGTTGCAGTCTCCAGTACCAGGAATATCAACCAAGACAATGTGCTCCAGGAGTTCACGACAGTTAGGAGTCTTGATTGTTACACTCTTCACAAGCGGCCAGTACCAGCCACCAGGATTTGACTCATCGTCTTTTATGTATTGAGCAACTGCACAGGTAATATCAGACAGCTTTTGGGGGGAAAAATTATTTTTTTAAATCTGACTTTAAAAATCTGACTTTCAGCAACATTCAGAATACATCTGCAATTTACAACTAGATCATTCTTATCTAATTTACCTATAACAAAAACACCATGTAACTTACATTCTGGTTCGAGATTGTCATCTTCCCAGTAGACAAAACATTGTTAATTTCAATATATTTGTCCACTTTCTTGAGCTCTTTCAAAGTTTTCTTCCCTGCATCAGCTCCATACAGTGCAATTATCTTTTCTTTAATAATTTCTGTTATAAGGTTGTCCCTATCCTCGTTTTTTTCTGATGAAACAATCTCAATTTCCCATTCCTGCAAAATAACACAGCATACCATATAGCACATAACATGTAGATTCTGTAAGGGGTATTTAAACTTATGAGCAGAACGGTACATCCTTCAAGTATGTTTTGTTTAATCTTCTGTTACTAACTATTATTTAATCTTATTAAAATGAAAATCTATATAAAAATATATATTTTTTGAGCAAACCTCTTTAGAAAAGAATTCAATCTCTGCTGTGTAGTTGGAGTCGCTCAGATTTGCTTCCACCTGTGTAATCACAGATGTGCATGCAGACATATAACTGGAAGGCAGTAAATATTTTTCTCCTAGGACTGCATTTATTAGAGAGCTTTTTCCTACTCCTGTTCTTCCAAAAACCCCTATGGTTGCCTTCATTTTGCTGTCTTTATCAATTTTATTTAGCTTTGAAACGGCGTCTCTGTGTAAAAAGAAATGAGTGGATGTCATTGACACTGTTTTCAAAATGAAATGCTAAATAATTTTAAACACTTACACAATGTCAGGTTTTAATGCATTTGGTGTGGTCTGAATTTGGGCCATAACTCTTTCAATGATCTGCTTTGCTTTGTTTCTTATCTCCATATCTGTGTTCCGTGAAAAAAAGAAATTATAACAGGAATTATTAACGTTGTAGCATCTGCTTAAAATCATGGATGGTCTTTGGGGTTTATGGCTTAAGAGACTCCTTTTAGCCTTTGACATTTGCATATAAATTACAGTCCTGGCCACAGATCACACATTTATATGGATGCTAAATTGCCAATGGTCTGACTTCAAACAGTTTCCAAAGACAAGTAAATGACACCCGGCCATAAAACATGCAAATGGGCCATAAAGGGAGACAAAGGAAACTTCTCCCACTCAAAAATTCACACCTGGTATCGGCTATTCCACCCAAAGTTGGGTGTGAATAGAAACCCTCAAAAGTCATTAGCTCGAAATGATCTTTGCTCAGAAAACCTCTTCTTTTGAGACAACACTAAGGCTTCTCAAGACTCTCCTCTGGAGTTTGATTTTCTGGCAGTTTTTATCTTCAAGTAACTTCGATCCGCTGTGGACTTTCCTATCTTCAGAAGAAGACAAAGAAAACTTCCAGCTCACTTCTAAGAGAACTCAAGAACCATTGTCTACCGCATCAGGAATCTTGTTCAGCAATCGAAGCCAATGCAAGTAACCATTTACAACGATTTAGATGTGGGTTTAAGTGTGAGCCCCCTTTTTTAAGGTGATTTTTGATTCTTTGATGATTCTCATTAGGTTGTGGTTAATTGATGTGAAATACTGCTATTATTTTACTTTTTTCTCTCTCTTCCTTACTTTCCTTCATTCTGTATATATGTGTTGTGCTTAGTTTAGTTTTATGTTAGATATAGTTTCATTTATTAAATCCCTTATATTCACAACTGATTGTCTCTGTGCGTTGCTCACGATTCGAAGTCACTGAATATTTGAAGTCGTGCTACATGCTAAATTACTGCTAGCACTGCATAAGGAAGGAAAGCTACTTTCCTTGGCCAGGAAAATAATCTTTCCTTGAATTGATAAATTATTATATTGTCTGCTCGGTGGACGGACAGATCAAATAATTGTAATATTGATTCTGCTACAGTTAATTCTAAGATCTAATCTAAATATTTATTATTAATCATAACCAGTTATAATTGGTCATAAATATTTCCCTTTTGAGCTAATTTACTACAACGTCTACCCCTGCCATTTACACTGTCAGAAAAATATGTGCAAAATTTGTACCTTTATGGTTACAATCGCTTATCATTGGGGCAATACCCTTAAAAAGACATCTTTGTACCTTTTTTTGCTCCTAAGAGGTAGTATATTAGAGTTGCAACATGTACCTTAAAGTACTACTTTGAACCTTTTGGGGGTAAATATTGTACAGAAGATGTCCTTCTAAGGGTACTGCCCCAGTGACAAGGTAAAGGTACAAATTTTGCAAAAAAAATTTCTGACAGTGTACCATCTTGCCAGCATCGGCAGTCAACACATGCATCCTACTTTAAACATAACTATAAACATAGGTGTATGTTAGAAAACACTCTCTGTCTTGAGAATGCTTCCAAATATGCCTCACCCCTCCTTTCTTTCCCTCTCCCTCTCACTCTCCCTCCTCTATCTGTTCTCTCTCTCTTGTATGGTGTTTTAATGTCTCTTACTCATATTCGAGGTAGGCATGCTTACATGTATACATTAGTTGCTTGGTTCAAATGTCCAAATAAGGAGACGAATGCTAGGACTACGAGGTAAAGGAGTTCGTGCTGAACTGTGAGGAGGGTTCAGCATCCTTCGCCAGGAAGTCTATTCCTAATATGTACATGTTTTTCTGTATATGTGGCCATTTTATACAAAACACATGTTCTTGGCCAAAGATCCTATATGTGTATGTCATTCTATCCTCATTGGTTAAGAGGGTGAAACTCCCCTCGACATGCCTATATAAGATCTGTATTTCTATGAATAAATAGAAGTATTGAGAATACATTGACTGTGTGTTTTCTTGCTTCCCGGCCGTATTTACACTTTAAGGAACTGAGAATTCTTCAAGGTGGCAAAGAGAATTTACAGAGGGACCAAATTGTTATTTTTTATTAACAGTGTACATGCATGTTATAGAAAAAAAGAGAAAAAAATCAGGAAAATAGCCACTGATGGCAGTCAGCTGTTTTCCATGGATCACACTTCTGTGTGATACATATCGTAACTACTATGGCTATGAATTTGAAAACGCAAGAGTCTGTTGTATACATACATATAACAGGGACATTTACCCTGGAGCAACATGGGGTTATGTGCCTAAATGGTACAATAGTGAAAAACTAAACTAAAGAACTATGAACTTAAAACATTTTTTTAAGGTGTGGATAAAATGCTTGTTAATAGGCAGGGGTAAACTGGTCTCCAAATCTTGAATGAACTTAATGCCATTTCCCATAGTCTGAACTTTGTATTTTTACTTTGACTTGCCTGTTGTCATCAGTGACTGTGCAGTGATATCTAGAGACTCGTCACATTTTCTTTTAATACCTGTAAGAGAATTCATAATAATCAACAATTTCCTGAATGACAAACTTTACTGAGAGCTAGCAAACAATTATAATAACCAGATTTCATACCATGACTAATGACTGTGGTTTGGGAGGAAAAGCCTAAAAGGAAACAAAATTCATATTAAAGACTCTTATAATTTCTTTAATCATTTGTAATAATTTCTCCTGTAAATGATTTCCAGACACTAGATGCAGCATTTAAAGATTATACAAATGATGTTCAAGACTGCAAATTTGCAGAAATTTCTACCACCAAGCTAGGTTTTTTGCAATGGTCTCTCTACCTTTTTGCTTCTTGCCATAGTCGCCTTAAGCTTTCTCACAGACAATATATATTAGGGTATAATTTTATCAAATGTTGCTTTAAATGGAACCACTCAATGAGGAGCTTATAAAATTTAAGACATTAATGCTGCAATATGTTTCTGTAAAGCTGCTTTGAAACAATGTGCATTATAAAAAGCACTACATAAATAAATCTGACTTGATTCCCAATAACATTCAGACTAGAAGATCTGTACTCTGGTAGCTACAACAATTCTTTGTTCTAGTCAGAGCTCAAAATACATTAATTTCACTAATTATTATAACATTTTACCACCAGTGGATATTCCTGATCGCAGTGGAGAGTTTTGTCTTTCAAGACATCCAAAAGATGTAGAGGGTCTAAAAAATATATATATATATATATATATATATATATTACCAACAAACTTGAAAATAAGTTATAGATTATTAAATTTATAGTATGTATTTGCTGATGTTCTCAAAATTTACAATAGATCTACTGTCCCAAATAAAGAAACCTGGTTCATGCATAATTGTGACCCTGGACCACAAAACCAGGTCTTGAGATTTCTACATCATCTGAAAGCTGAATAAATAAGCTTTCCATTGATGTATGGTTTGTTATGATATGACAATATACTGAGAATACTGAGAAAATCACCTTTAAAGTTGTCCAAATGACGTTCTTAGCAATGCATATTACTAATCAAATATTAAGTTATATATTATATATTTACAGTGGGAAATTTACAAAATATCTTCATGGTACATGATCTTTACTTAATATCCTAATGATTTTTGGCATAAAAGAACAATCGATAATTTTGACCCATACAATGTTTTTTTGGCTATTTGTGTGTGTGTGGTGTGGCCACCGTGCTAATGCTGTCCTTATCGTTATGTTCTTAACACTGCTTATGATAACATACAGGCTTATGCTCTGATTAAACGGTGGAGTATTTAAACAGGTGTAGTTGTGTTGGCCTATCTTGATAACAGATGCATTTTAGGCTAGGCCCACCTGATTTTCTCTGGGCTCACCCACATTGTGATTCCTGGCTACGCTAGTGGTATCCTCTACACAAGGTGTTTCACAGCAGCACCTTGATATCAATTTGATGTCAAATATTAGTTTCCTTTCAGTCGGTCACGTTCGACATCACGTCGGAATGTACCAACGAATTGGGATCTCGCCTGAGAGCCCTATCATCTTCGAGTGTAAACTAAACAAGCCAATGCATATTGGCGTGCAAGATATGCATCTCACACTCCGCCCCGCAGCACGGGTAAATGCAGGAGCGAGTGCAACGCACATTCAGCTTTTCACTTCAGAGCAGAGCGGTTCTATTGTTCTGCTCTGCCTGTCATCTGAAGAGTATTCTGACGAGTCAACGAGCGCTCTGGGGAAGAGGCTTCTTCAGCACTGGTGTTGGTGCGACAGCGCTGCAGCGGTGGTTTCCCCTGTGTGATCGTTGCCTCACGTGTTTGAGCATTAAGCACGCTAAGGCTGCTTTCATGGATGAGTCATGCTCTCACTGCGGTAGGATGACCATCTCGGCATTGTGGTCAAGACTCCAATACCTCAGGAGAGGTGGAGTCCCCTTACCTATGCCCCGATCTAGTTCTTCTTCTGCACCGCAGAAGAGGGCTACTTCGGTGAATAGACAGGGTGACCTGAGGGTTTCAGTGGGGATAAACCTGCAGAGTGAGGGACCAGCCGTTTCATTCGGTGCTCCTCCAGATGATCAAATGTTGATTGCGGCATCAGAGGGTGAGCTGGGGCCTCATTTATAAAGCATGCATACGCTCAGATTTGATCTTAGAGTGTGCGTACACTTAAATCCATGCCAGCGCTCAAATTTGTACAACTATGTTTTTGATGTGGAAAAGTGCTTAGCATCATATCAGGGTCTGAGCAGACGTACGCAATTTTTCTAAATTAAAGAATTTTGATGATGACTGTGATATTTCACATATTAATGACATTAGGAGTCGTTTACAAGGCAGAGAGCTGAAACTATTAATTTACGCGCAAGTTCAAGATCATTTGCAATTCATAAATTTCACATCTGAAAGAAACGAGTATGTCCGTTTTCTGCATGTACATTCATTATATATACGCATATTTGAGAAATGATCGTAAGATCAAATTTAGGATGGTTTCTACGCAACATTTTATAAATGAGGCCTCTGGAGTCTGGGGATGAGGACTCGGCTGCGTTGCCCCCT